CATCATATCAAGGGTAAATACTATCACTGCTGATGTTGACCTTGATCTTCACCTGGTTGAGGTAGCATTTATCAGATTCCCTCACTGTAAAGTTACTCTTTTTATCCCCTTTTCCATTCTGTTCTCTTTAGAAACAAGTCACTATGCACAGCCTACACTTAAGAAGGGGGAAGTTACCCTAGACCTCCTTGAGAACAGAGTATCTACATAAATTATTTGAAATTCATCTACATGGGAAATTTGTCTATTCTTTTCATCCATTTATTCATTCAATCACTTATTTATATTGACATGGACTTATGGGTATTTATTTTTTTCTTTGGGTTATAACTCAATACTTTATTTTTTGGCACAAATTGTCTAGTTTGGGCCATTGGGAACTCTTTCATTTGGTTCCCGTGTCCCTTTGACATACTCTCCACATTATGTTTCTTTAGTGTTTATTGGTTGGTTTGTTTTAGCACTTCCTTACTTTCTGGCAGTACAAGATACTCTAGGTTGATCAAGTATATTTCCTGCTCTGGTCCTAGAATCAATCATTTCTCCAAACAGCCCTAATTCCTTTAATTAGAGAATGGTATTAGAAACCAAGAGCTTGGCATTTTATGGACTGGTTTCTACTGGAGAACATTGCTTCTAGGCCTTCTCAGACGACAGGGCAAGGAAATATGTGTGTGTATACCTAGCCATGCATATATGTGTATCTATAAATGTTTTTTATATGTAACCATCTGTATCTATATATTTTTTTAATTTTTTGTTTATTGCAGTAACATTGGTTTATAACATTGTAAAAATTTCAGGTGTACATCATTATACTTCTATTTCTGCATAGCTTACATCACGTTCACCAAGACAGGAAACAACATGTGTTGGAGAGGATGTGGAGAGAAGGGAACTCTCATACACTGCTGGTGGGAGTGCAAACTGGTGCAGCCACTATGGAAAACAGTATGGAGATTCCTCAAAAAATCAAGGATAGAACTACCATATGATCCAGCTATTCCACTGTTGGGTATTTATCCAAAGAACTTGAAAACACCAATTTGTAAAGGTACATGCACCCCTGTATTCATTGCAGCATTATTCGCAATAGCCAAGACTTGGAAGCAACCTAAGTGCCCATCAAGGGACGAATGGATAAAGAAGATGTGGTATATATACACAATGGAATACTACTCTGTATCTATATTAAGCTAAACATAAGTTCATACTGAAGTCTGCAACTCTAATCCATTACCACATGGTTCATTCTAGCCTTCTTCTCTTGTTTATCTGTAACTTCCCATCCTAACAGTGAGAAAGCTGGCTTCCACCATCCACCATCCATTGACTTAATTGTTTGATTCCACATATAGTGGTTTTAGAATTGCTAACATGGGGAAATGATGTTATTAACTAGAGTACAGTTCTTAAGTATAGTTTCTTTGCCTTTAATCTTGCAGATTCACTCCTGAAGTCACCCAGTTCAGTAAATTTTTTCACCCACTACCCTAAGCGAGATTGCTTCATATATTTATAATACAGTTAGATTCTATGTCATCTTCTGCATTCCATCTTGGGGTCGTCTAACCTCCTTAATTATTTTTTTAAATTTGCATACATTAAGGTTTATGCTGTGTTATAAACTTCCGTTGGTTTTGATAAATGCATAATGTCATGCATCCACCATTATGGTATCATACAGAGTAGTTTCATCACCCTCAAAACATGCCTTAAGTTTCATTGATCTGTTCGATCATCCCCTGACCCCAACTCCTGGCAATCACCGAGCTGTACAGTCTCTATATTTTTTCCTTTTTCAGAAGATCACATAAATGTAATCATACAGTATGTAGCCTGATCAGACTGTCTTCTTTCACTTAGCAATATGCATATAGGATTCATTCATGTGTTTGCATGAATTGACAGTTCATTTTTCTTGATCGCTGAAAAGTATTGCATTATATGGAATTTCCATAGTTTGTTTATTTAGTCACTTATTAAAGAGCACCTTGATTATTTCCAGTTTTTGGTGATTATTAATAAAGCTACTACCAACATTTATGTGCATGTTTTTTTGTGAGCATAACTTATAAATGCTAGGTAAATGCCTAGAAGTCCAACTACTTGATCATACCGTAAGACTGTGTTTAGCTTTGTAAACATTGTCAGACTGTCTTCCAAAGTGGCCATACCATTTTGCATTCCTACCAGCAGTAAATGAACATTCTTGTTTTTTTCATCCTGACTAGCCATTTTTTTTCCTAGATCTTAACCATTCCGACATGTATAGTGTTATCTCATTTTTGTTTTAATTATAGGTCCATTTTCAAAATAAGGTTGTATTTCCCTGTGAAGGTTATCAACCTTCCATTGCTCTCAATAGCCAGTATTTAAATTTAGTGTCGTGTAAGAGTTCTTCTATATTTCCTAAACACACCAAGATAATCCATCCATTAAAAAATGAATAAACAAAACAAACAGGGAATACAGTCTGGGTCTTCTCTCATTTCTTCAATCAGTTTTGCTGGTTCAAACAGCAGCAACAACATAAAATGTGCTCATGATCTATAGCTTAATTACCCTCATTTTCTGTAACACTAATCAACTCACTGTGCCAAATAGGTTCTATAATGTTATACTCATAGACGAATAAAGGCAATAACTAGAGAAAACCAAAGGACAAAATACCAAATAATAGAATAGTCAAGTAAATATTGTATTAATAAGTAAATATTGTAAGTATTAATTAGTAAGTATTACCAAGTAATAAGAATAGAACAGGGGCTGCACCTCCAGCATAATTTGTTAAAATGAGAAGGTGAAGGTGAGTGAAGGTTTTTGATTATAATTATTCTTCATAACTGATCCTTGCAAATACCTAATCAATTTTATTTTAAACAGATATCTACAGCAGAGAAGAAATTAATCTGTTTTATAAAATAACATATACGTGCTTCATATTAAGCGCAGAAGATTAAAAATAAATTCCATGTGAAAATTAGAAATGTTTTTTGTTTTCAACTTTTTTTTGGCTTTGTCTATAATACAGTATGTGTCGCTTAACAACAGGGATACTTCTGAGAAATGCATCCTTAGTCGATTTCATCGTTGTGCGAACATTATAGAGTGTACTTACACAAACCTAGATAGTAGAGTCTACTGCATACCTAGGCTATATGGTACTAATCTTATGGGACCACTGTCGTACATGTGGTCTGTCACTGATCGAAACATCATTATGTAGTGATTTGAACAGCATCTTATCTCCAAATTCAGCCTCATTATTTATATCTTTCAACGTTTCCTTTTACTCCATGGAAAAAACAGCACCTTGATTCCCTTATGATCTGGAAATCTAATGATCATTGACCCCACCCACCTCAGGCTGAGTGTTTTCATCTTCCCACAACCACAGTATAATCTCTCCTTTGAAATGTCTGTTTATTTGAGAGGATAGTGTTGGCCAGTACAAGAAAATAAAACTTTGGAGTGATGTTACAGACTACCACTCTCCCTCCACCTAGCATTGTCAGGTTAATAAATAAAAACATTAGATACCAGTTTAATTTAAATTTTAGATAAAACAAAATAAAATAGTGCATGAAACATCATAGAACTAAAACAATTATTTATTTTTTTTTTGGAATTCAAACTTAACTGGGCATACTTTATTTCACCTTGCAAGCCAACTTCCATTCTCTCCAGTTAGCCTATGAGTTCAAGAGGAGAATGACACTGAGAAGGTCAAAGAGCAGTAGACTAGATCAGCAGGGAGGATGGTAGTACTGCGCAGAAAGAACCTAACATTTGAAGACTCTTTATTTCTTTTTTTAAGTAACCATAATATTGGTGGACCAGGGTTTTCGTTTAACTTTACATGTCTCTGAAACTATTCACCTACTTTATCATGTTTTCAGAGATGTCTCTACCAACATTTTATGGAGGTCTCATACCTTACATGTCACTTCCTAAACCTGTTTTTTCTGTAAGCACTTGTGGTCAACACATAATAATAATAACTAACTAATAATTGTTTGTTTTGTTGCTTTTGAAGTTAATTACTGGTATCTCAACAAAGAAGAGGCTTTTATGTATCTTTTAAAAGAATTTAGATGCATGTAAATACGTTATGGTTATTACATTTAAACATATAGCATTCCTTTATATTACTGAAATACTAAATTTGTCTCTATATGAAGACATTCCTTTCAATTTCAAACAAAGTTTTTGAGCACAATCTAAGCTGAGTATTCCTTCTTTGGTTTTAAAGAGGACTTGTCCATCATACATAGTTGAAGTCACACAGATAGCACTTAATAATACAATATAGCCACTGAGTTAAATCTAATCAAGCTGTAAATGTTACATATGTAAGCATCTAAATCCTCTCCACAATTTAATTTCTAGACATTCTTAAATTAAAACAAAAAAGCTTCTGGCATATTAATTTTTAGCGTTATGCTAATATTACTCCAAAGAACATAAACTACTTTTGCAGATTAAAAGATGGCATTTTAGATTCACGGTATAGAATAATAGAATTGATCAAAACAAAATCAGAGAAGCTGAGACAACCAAGAACATATATTGTGTTAAAGTTGCTTTTAAGTGATTTTGTGCGTGTTTGTGTGTATCATAAAGCCAGCATGATTCTGCTTTTATATGGGGAAATTTAGAATTGTAATGAGACATTTTTATAATTACCTGTTATAATTGATAAGTATATATATTACCAAATCTTCTGAGGATTAACAATGGTTTAGATTGTAAATGAAAGTCAATGAGGTAGGGTGGATACTCATTTTATTAACACTTATATAGCATTTTTCTAAATACTTTTTTATACTGAATTGTATATGACTTTTTGCCATGCTAGCAGAGGTTTAATGGTTGTTTTCTCTTCCTTTTGTTGAAAAGTATGAATATTGATATAAATTTAAATGAATACCTGAGGATATTTTGTAATGAGACCTTTACATATTATTGTTATTGGATATTTAAGGCAGGATTTTTACCTGAAAGACACCCAGAGACTGACAGAAACAGAACTAATTTCCAAGAGGAAGCCATCCTTGGTCACTAGGATCTCCTGTGTCCCCGTGTGTTTAGCAGTTCTGACGTTTCTTCATTAAATAATGCCCTGTTGAGATAAATAAAAGTTTTCAAAAAGAGAAAATAAACAAAAAAGCAAACAAACAGAAGCCAACTCAAAAATCTCATAATAAAATGATAAATAACTCTAGTGCAAAGGTCAGATTGATATATACTTAGATATTGACAACAATAATAAAATTTCCATTAGAATTCATTTAATGCACAACACAAAAACTTCAGAGATCTGATAAACTTTCCCTATCATATTTATTTATATTGAATACTCCTTTACAGATAATAAAAACATCAGGTTCTAATGGGGATGAGTTTTCCTCACAGGGAATGTAAAATAGCTATATTTATTACATTAGACAAATTATTAGACTAGAAAAACAGGGTAGAGGAACCAGTTACATTAATATACATTCTGGTCTAGAACATAACTAATGATCAGTTAGCCAAGTGACTTTACACATTGTGCCTATAGCTCATCTAAACCTCCACAGGGAATTTTTCCCATTTAATTATTAATGTCAACTGCCTTTGTTTATAACTCCTATGATTATCTGTACTGTGTCATAGTTCCTTTCTTTGGTGAGTTATTTCTCTCAGCATCTTTTGCTAGCCAGAACCTAAGGGAAATAAGGATTTTCATGAATATTTAACATTTTTTGTCTAATGCCATTTTTATAACAATAACCAGAATAGCACATTAATATGCTTTGCTTCTTTTATTTTTCATGAAAGACACAATAAACATAAAAAAATATAAAATTCTAGCGTGAAAATTCCTGCAGGAACTTGACAAATGTGCATTAGAAATTGCTACAATAGACAAGTAACTTCTCAGTTTTCAAGTGTCAGTTAGTGGTATCCTTCTTGGCCAAAAGCAATTAAGTTGAAAAATAATTGTACACTCTGTTAATGATTTTTAAATAACAATTGCTTCTTGGCAACTGGTTCTTCCCTATAGACTTAGCTGTTCAGGTTGTCTTTGTTTTTTTAAGAAGCATCTTAAAAGTATAGACAAGGACTTTTCCCCTTAGCTGGGTCATAATTTAACACAGTCATACCCAAAGAGGGAAATCTCTTGGTAGCAAGTCTTCTACCTGAATAATGTTAGTTCCATTTTATTTATGTTTTTAAACCTAAGCCTTGGTTATCAATTTTAATTACATCATTAGGAATCACTAATGGGGAAGAAAGTTACTAAGAGTTAATAATGGTTGATTTATAGCCTCCTCCTTCAAAAAAGACACTTTCATCATCTTTTTTTCTTCCAAGTAAATATCAGAAATAAATACAATTTGAAGCACAAAAAATGATCTTAAATCACTAATTTTTACAGTTTAAAACATTTTTATTATTTATACACTGCTTTTACCAGAAAGCAAGAGAAGAATATCAGCCCTTCACACATAACAATTAGAGAGACTTAAAGTTGCCGGAACTACAATTATAATTCACAGGAACTGAATATTCAAATTAGTGAATGTTCAAATCACGATAAAATTGGGCTTTCTCAGATTTTGAGTTCTGAGATGTTAATATAGTTTTGCTTAGCTTGTTTTGATAAGCTTCTGCTCACTCCATGCCCCCAAAAGGGGTATTTCCCCTCTCTATTTACAACGTGCTCTGTTGTCTTCAACATTCATCATCAACAAATGCAAACGGTATCAGAGCACTTATGTGCTGTACACTGGGAATGTCAAAGAGAAAACACACGTGCATGCATGCACATGCACATATACACAGAGGTTAACCATAGACTATGAGATAAATAAGCAGAATACTCTAAGTATAATATAAATATAGAGCTACCAAAAGGGGAATTGATTCATAAGGATGGCTGGAGTCAGGAATAGTAGAGAAGGATCTTCAATAGAATTTCAAGAAGACATTGGTCTTAGACAATTATCTTACTTTTGAGAGAGATTAACCATGAAAACATCGATAAATAAGACAATGTCAGAGAGTGATACATATTATGAAGAAATTCACCGAGTAAAGGGACAATGAGTGATCAGAGGACATAAAGGGGTCCTTTAGCAGGGGTTCATGGAAGGTATTTCTGATAAGATGATATTTATGCTCAGTATTCATGTTTTCAACATGCCATTAGGAAATAATCCTTATATATGTATTCCAGGCACATTTTTTCCATTCTCAAATCTAAATAGTACATTGAATTTTATTACTAAAAGAATTCTATCTTATGTTAAAATCTCTCCAAATAAAAAGAAGAAATGTGCATGTGTGTGTGTGTGTGTATGTGTGTTCATTTGCAAGCATCAATGCTTGGTCCTTGGAGTTTAAACACAAAAAATAATAATTCTTCAAAAGCCATTCTTTTTAAGATATCTAAATTACATCCTTCCTTTTTACTTTCCTTCTTCCTTCTCGTTCTCTCTCTCAAGTAAAAAGTAAATGAAATAATCTTTAGGATTCTGAAATATGTAAACTTTTTTATATGCCTCTCTTGAAAACAAAATGATTCCATGACTTTAATAAAATCCCTATATCAAAGTAATAAAGTAATGCAATTAATCAGACATATATTAAGTTCCTACTACATGCCAGATTATAATCAGTTAATAAATTTTGCTAATGCATATCAGGACATATTTTTAGAAATACCTTAATGGAGACTGACACTTGTACATTAAACTCATGCATCAAGAGATTAAAAAGCCTTAAATACTAATTTGGAAACCACTAATAAGATACATTAAAAAAATGCATATTTTAAAAAAAGCTTATTTCAATGCTTAGAATATATACTTATTATCACCTGTTATCACCTCTGATATTCAGAGAAAAATGTTTCAAATAACATCATATCACTTTGTAGTTTTTTCCTGAATTATTGAAAATATTTGCAAGTAAAGTAAAATAAGTACATCTTTGTGTTAGAATTGAGTCATAAGTTATAAATAATAAATGCAGTTGATTGCATAGACGGTACTTAAAAGCATCACACCTTAATTGGAGTCTGAAATTGGATTGCTAAACATATGTTACATAAAAAAATCAAGTGATAGTATGTTGCCATCTGAATACAAGTTAGTTTTTCTTCTTCAAGATGCATATAGGAAACTTCCTTGTTAATGATGTGTGTATGTCAGTGTGTAAAGGTAGCGAGATTGAGAGAGAGACAGAGAGACTTCTACTATTGCCTGCTGGTCTCTCTTCAGTTCTATAGCAAGCACTTCCTACAGTTTGGCCCTCTGTAGGTTATTCACACAGCAATCAGAATTGTATTTTAAAACATAATCAGGCTACATCATTTCCTTGTTTTCAGTGGTTTATTCTTAAAATAAAATCCAATTTCCTTCTATAGTCTACAAGACCATATATGATCGGGTCCCTGCCTAACCTTCTGATTTCATCTTCTAGCACTCTAGATTCCATTCTCACCACACTGACTTTCTTGCTGCTCCTCAAATATGCCAAGTACTCATTGTTTCCTTTGCCTGGACTCATCCGTCATTAGTTCTTTCCAGATAATATAGTTTTAAAACATTGAAGACTCTGCTCCTTAGGCCTTTTTTGATCACTCTCCATAAAGAGCATGCCCCCACAGGGCTAGCCCAGGGGGGTAATGGTTGAGTCCAGTGCGCCCTGCTTCGGCGGCCTGGGGTTTGTGGGTTCAGATCAGGGCGTGGACCTAGAGCACTGATCAAACCATGCTGTGGTAGTGACCCACATACAAAATAGAGGAAGACTGACACAAGTGCTAGCTCAGGGACAATCTTCCTCAAGCAAAAAGAGGAAGATTGGCAACAGATGTTGGCTAAGGGCTAATCCTCTCACCAAATAAAAAAAAGAAAAGTAGCAAGCCCCATTTCCTGTCAGCCCTGTCACTGGTTTACCTTACATTGTCCCTGCCTTATTTTTCTTCTTAGCAATTATCAGTGCTTGATGTCATGCTATTTATTTATTTATTTTTTAATTATCTTTTTCTCTTACTAGGATGAAAGCAAGAATTTTTGTCTTGTTCATCTTTGTAGACCCAGCATCTAGAACAGTACTTGCCTGATTTTAGTAGGTATTCAATCAATATTTTTGAACAATAATTATCAAAGAAACTGGAGTCTATGGTAGGTAAATTATTTGGCACGAGATAATATAAGAAGATAAAAAAATCACTACCCCTTAAATTTCCATAATACTAGCACCAGCTACCATTTATGAAATTCTATGTGCCAGGCATTGTGTCATGCACTTTACCTACACAACCTCTATTAATGAGTTTGACATCTCTTATTGATGAAGATAACTTGCCCAAGAACACACAGCTAATAAAAGGCAGAACTAGGCTAAGAATAATATTGGCCTTTAAGCTATATCACTACTTACAGAACTCCAGAGCAATCTCTACAAAAGTCTCTAGAAGCCTGCTTACCTAAAACAATTGGGACTGGTGCTGAGTTAATAAAAATCATTTTAAAAATCATACATACCTTAAATGTTGTCATCTAACCAATGCAATTTAACTCTATATTCTTTGGCCAATATCATTATACAGGAATGAGATCTTTTTTTCTGATTATCAATATTCTGGTGGAAAATCCTTTCTTTTATCGCAACATCATATGCATATTTACTACATAAATCCTGCTTCTAATGTATCACATACAATTTTTAATTTCTTTAAAGTGGTGTAAGAACATGTGAAGCAGTCTGATAACAGCATCCTAGAAGGTTTTCATTATTTTCGCACAGTTGTCTCACACACAAAATATTGTAGCATTTCCTAATCCACTCATTTTACTGAGTTTGTCCAAGACTATTAGCTTTTGGTTTTTTGTTTGTTTGTTTTTTCATAGAGCCAAATGCTCTCACTCTTGGTGCACTCATATGTCCTTGATCTGCATAATGTTTACTTGAATTACCTAATTATGTCAACATGTATAACTTCCACAGATGGCACAAATACAACTGAATCTTGGTAGGTATGCAACTTACATAGCGGCAGTGAGTAAACAAGAGATGAGCCTACTTAACCATCAGCATCTAACTTGTTCTGAATTATTTTTATTTATATAGATAATA